ATGTTGCATATTTCATTTGTTATAAACAATTTAGTGCATATTTTTTAGGCGAAAAAAAACGATTTTTTTTCAAATATTTACCATTAAATCCCTACGCCTTCTTTGAGCTTTTGATATGTAAAATTTAAAAAATTTTGAATTTTTGTTCCAGAGTCAAAATTGGAGGAGAAACTTTTCCGGCCGCGGAGCCCTACATTTATGGCGGGCGTTCAGTCAACCACCTGCACAGCCGCCATTTTGTTTTTGATCACCACAAAAAAATTTATATAAACACTTTAATGTATAGGCAATAAAGACCCCTAAACAAAATTTTCATTTTTTTCGTTTTCCCTAAAAAAAATCTTGAAATTAGGTTATTTTTCGACGCTCTAGAGTGGTTTTCCCCCTTAAGTTAGCAGACACTGCAATTTCTGTTGCCAATTTGCTTGCATAGTATGTTAACACGCTTTGTCATATTTTTGATAACAGTTTGTCGATCATCATATAGTACAGATACTGAAATTTGTTGTCATTCTGCCATCAAATAACGATAGCATACTCTGCTCGAAATCTGTCTCAGCAGGTTTTGCTATCTGGGGAAACGACTGAACAGATTTAAAAACGTTTTTACAGGATTGAAATAGACATAAAATATCATCGTGCTAGATATAAATTAGTAGTAAAAACGAAAAAATATTAAAAAATTACCTTTTTTTTATCATAACTTGTCACCTGACGTAAACATTTCATAAGTACAAAAGTTCTGCAGCTCATATGTACAAAAAAAAGTACCTATAGCGCGCATCGGATTACTTGCACGAATAATACAAGACGTTTTAAGCTACGATTGAAAGCGTAGAAAAACAATTATCTCTTAGAATGCAATTTGTGGTAATTCGTACGCTCGGCTAAGGTAAAGACAGCAAAAATTGCGTCTGGTAATTACAACAATTATAAACAACAATAAACATATTATGAATATTTGAATCTAATTGTAAATCTTTTAATACTTACATGGTTCTTACATAACAAAATGTTTACAATTATGATATTTTTCAAAGAAATGGCGCATACAAAAATATTCCTTGCACCAGGAACAACGACATATTATAGCAGATGCACCACATATATGTGAAACAATGTTGTATTTCTTGTATATCTTTTCCGGAGAAACAAAAGTCTATTGGATTTTCGAATTGTAGGGGCTGTTATTGAAAATTTCAGTGTGCTATTATTAGATTCTTAGAGCGGACATTGTCTCTCAAATTTGCAAGAATTTATTTGCAAGAATTGTCACATCATGAAGATACGGATTTTAACTATACCAAAGAATCTC